TCGTCGTTGGTTAAGAGGCAAATCGGAGAGGGTTGGGAGGTCGGCGGTTGAGAGGTTTCTGAGATCAGATGGCTAATGAATTGGGGCCGATGAGGAAGCACAATGATGAATTGGGGCCAATGAACTGTCACCGCTCCATCACCGAGAAGAAGCACAGTGCCAGAAAGACCCATCCGGAATCTTCGCCGAAGAATTCATCGTTGCCATGACAAACCAATTTCAGATCAGAAATTCAGAATCGCCTTGTCTTCACCGCTGATGCTGCGTCGCCACGGAGTCCATTACAGTCGTGACTCGCAGGCGAAGAAGCAGAGAAACAGTATGGATCACAATTTGCAGAGAGTTGTGCGAGTCTCTGTCACTGATCCTGACGCCATGGACTCCTCTTGAGATCAACGTCGGCTTAGTTGGTGGTTGATAGGGTTGGGAGATCGGGTGTTGGTGTCGCTGCCGCTTACACCTCTTGAGATCAGCGTCGGCTGAGTTGGTGTCGCTGCCTCATCATCAATCCGGCCAACCTTGTTGGCTACCCGGCTCTGTTTTGTATGTGTGTATATATCTATATACATATTTGTGTGTAATTTTCTGTATATATCTATACATATATGAACTATTTCTTGTGTTGTTGATCTTGTGTGTATATTTATACATATATAAACTAATAAAGTTGTCTGCAAATAGATTGTTAGTAAATGATTTTTAATTTTTTTTCTCAAAACAACTGTATTAACATTGTTACACTTGTTAGAACAGTAGAGAAAATGGGAGAATAGAAAAATAGAGTAACTAAATAACAAGCGCAAAACAAAGTTCAAGCGAAACAATAATCAAAACAGCTTGGAATAGCAGTGAGGTAAAGAACTGTGTGCCTTATTGGGTATAATTGCAAAGGTTGAAGAGAATGAAGGCTTACATGAGTAGGATGAGGCAATGGTGGGTGTTTGTGCGTATGATGTCATTTGCTGGGTGTGAGATGTAGAGGGGTAGTTTTGTTTTTTAGAATTATATATATTTTTGTATTATATTATATTAAAAAAATTAAGAGTAAAAGAGTCAATTCACATATGTTAGAGTCCAAAAAGCAAATTGGGGTGTAAGTGAAAGTTAAAAACCAAATCTTCATCTAGGTGAAATATGACCTAAACTCAGAGGGTCTGAGTGAAATTAACCCTATTAATATCTCATGATACACAATAATTTCTCACAAATTACAATTCCTAAATCTAAGTTGAAACAATAATTGAGATATAAACTTGAAGGGATAGGTCTTCAACGACTCTTTAACATTTACAATTGTAAAGATTCGTACAAAACTATGGATATTGATTTCGATATCACATTCAATTCAACTCTAAAAATTCATAGCCATACTCAATATATGAATCATGATATGCATGAATGTGCATTTATAATCCTTCAGTTGTAGACACGCGTCACAAGCAGAAATAAAACTTAGTTATGAACCGAATTTAACCATCAATTTGGTTTAGTTCTAGTTTTGATTTTAGAAATAAAGAATTGATAGTTTAGAGTTCGGTTCTGATTTCAAATCCATTACTGTAAAGACAATACTTAGATACTCACCAGTGAGGATGTACACCATTTTGACCGGTGATATGGACCAATAATAAATGAGCACGTCTTTTTTTAATTACCAAATCTGATTTGGTAATTAACTATATATACCCCATTTTTATTTGGTAATTAAAAATAACGTGCTCATGTGTTATTGGTCTAAATTAATAATAACGTGCTCATGATGAGGACCTAAGTATTGTCGTTATTTTAATATTAATAATATAAAATATATGATTAAATACTCTGACAGCGCTCCAGGTTTGAATTTATTGCTCTCATATTAAAATAGTGTGCTCATGTGTTATATCACACCCTCTTCAGGTTTAGTTAAAATTTTATGTGGCACCCTTTTTTTCAAATTGATAAAATATAATATCTAAATTACCCTCCATGGTTGTTTCAAGTAACATTTATACCCCATGCGTATTGCAACTCAGCTTACGTGTCTACAGTTGCTCACCATATTAATTATTATTTTTTCACCTTATTATTATTTTTATTTTTTTATTTTGGATTTTAAGTCTCTCTCTCACGGACCTCTTTGCAACTAACCTCTGTGTAACACAACCGTCACCATCACCGGTGACGGATTCAATGGCGGAGAAGAAGAAGCGACGTCCAGACGACCACCAACCACCAATCACCCCCACCACAAATACCACCACCGCCACATCTATCACACCTCAACCGCCACAACCACTACCCCATCACCATCATCATAAAACCTATATTTTCAATTTATCAACAAAAAAAAAATGCAAACCCAGATTTTTTCCCTAATTTCAGAAAACGGCGGTGCCGGCGATCCAGGTGTCTTTTCCGGCGCTCTTCCAAAACCAAATTCCACACCCAAGCATGCCATGAGACTGAAATTAGAGTTTTGAACTAAAAAATTACGGTTTCAGCATAACCCGCCGTCCCGCTGTCCTGCATCACAACTCTGATTGGGTCAGCTGCGTCCAATTTAGCCCCAATACGCTCCAACCAACCATCATTTCCACCTCCTTGCTCGTTGCTGGTGAGTCTATCTGAGCTCTCTTTAAAGACCAAGTTGTTTGATCTCAACAGGGACTGAACGTCCACCAGGTCGCTCCGACGACATGGTTCTTCCATTACCGGCGACCTCCTTCGTCGCCTCCTCTCAACCTAGCGTCGAAACATCCATGGCAGTGACCACACAGCCCATTCCGTCACGTAGAGCAACCTGTTTCTCCTCTTTTACCGGTGACTAATACGCCGTGATTGAGAATTTTATTTTTTACTTTTTTTTTTGGTTTTGGTTTTGGCAGTAGGCCTAAATTAATTAAGGGTAATATTGTTATTTCAAGTTTTACCAGTATAGGTCAGTAATGACATAAGCACGAGAGTTAATAAAGTTAAACGTATAATAGTAAAATTATTTTTTAATATTATTTATAGAGGGTGTGAAAGTAAAAATAATTGTAGTGTAATATGAGAATAATAAATTCAAACATGAAAATATGTCAGAGCATTTAAGTCTAAAAAAAAAAAGACAAGATTACACAATTTATATATCTTAACAACCACAGAGTTTATATTATAATTATAAAAATTGTATGCTTATATTCTAATACTAGTGATGTTTATTAGCAAGGTACGACTCAATAACTTTAATTCAATGCTATATACTCTAATATTTCTACTTTGATTTTGGCATTCTATGTCATCTTTCTACTTTTAAGGTATTACTAGACTACTGTTAGCCAATTCGGCCCTGTAACAATTATCAAGGCTTGGGGGACACGTCACACCTTTAATAATAGTGCATTATTACATTATTTTTTTAGGAAGTTCTAAAGTGATAGTTCAGAACTGAATCAAACTAGTCTTTTAAGATTCTTTTAAGATTCGATTTGGTTTAGGGGTTCAATAGAATTGTTTCCAATTTGTTTACAAATGTTTTGATAGATTCAGTTTCTTTTGTTCTCTATAAAATTCTTCTTTTTGGTTGAGAGAGCTTGGAATGTAGGTAGGCACCTCAGAAAAGAAAATTCTAATTTTTCTTCTTCTTCTTTCTATAAACAAGAATATCTTATCTCTATACTTGAATCAAGTTATAGGAAAAGTCATCCGGTTTGCAGAATGTGCATAAATTTGATAGAAGCAGGTTGACATAACACTCAATTTCAGCTTTCCGAACTTTCCATTCTAGCACAAACACCTCGTTTATGCTTACAAAATAACTAAAGCAAGAGACAAACGAGGAAAACTAGTTATAACAGGAAGTAAAAGACGGAAAGGACGACCGAAATAACATGAGATGAAATTATTAAAAATAATTTTAAAAAAATTAAACATGTTGGTGAAATGGCATGTTATAGAAGAAATTGGAAAGAGAGAGTTCATGTTGCAGATCCATTCATTTGAGTTTGTAAGAATGATGATGATCACAAGGACACAGAACTAAGAAAATATTATCAATTTGTGAAATGCAAAAAAAAAGGTTTAAGAACTTGGAAACTTTCTTTCAATTACAATAAATATAGTTTGTCCCTCAACCTCAGCCTGAAAAGTTAGGTACGTCGAGAAAATACTACTCAAGTTAATTCTTAGTAAAAACTTAGTTTTACGTAGAAAAGACAAGTAGTTAATTCTTAGTAAAAACTTAGTTTTGAATAGAAAAAACAAATGATAAAAATAACAATTGATACGGAATATTCGACTAGATAAGAATTCCAAGTGATATGGAGACTCAAAAGGTATAGATAAGGTGACCATCTCATAAGTTAATTAAATGATAAGATTTAATTTATTCAAATGTTGCACTAAAGATACATTAACTAATTCCTTCTCTCTCGGAAGGAAATGCAGAAACAACAACTTCAACTTTCTATAAAAGTGAGGCCCGTCAACATAAAAATGTATGTCAAAAATCCCATATAAAAAAGCTTGATCGGAGATTGAATTATGAAGTACTAACTTGACCGTCGAAGTGCACCGGCCGGCACCACGCCGGTCATCACTTTTTTTGTCTTGCAAGAATAACTCTCAGCTCTGGATCGTGCAGATTTTTTGCATCAACAACAAGACTAATAATAATAAGAAGAAGAAGGCTGCTGCTTTGTATTTTAATATTTATAATTCATTTTAAAAAAAAATGAGAATGTTGGATTTATCTTTTTTGTTTTTCATTTTTCACTCTTTAGCTCCACCAACGAAATTGAGCCTTTTAACACAAGTTGTGAAATATATCTAGAGAAAAGTCAAATTTCTAGGAATCAAATATAGGATGTGAAGTGAATGACACAAATTGTGATCTTAAAATAAAGTTGTATTCGTTTTTGACAAATATAGAAGATAAAGTAAATGTGAAAACACAAGGAAGTTGCCAAAGAATTAAACAAGAATATAATCGGATATATTTCACTTTTAATAGAAGATAATGCACAGATTATGCTTACCTTGTTGACAAAGCAGTCGGCAACCAGATTCACCAGTATATATAACTTTCGATCAGCTGCAAGCAGCTATTTGCAACTATCCAATACTTGACTAATTACCCTTTTCCACCGCCCTCGAGAGAATATATATATATATATGTTTTGCTCCAAGTAGTGTAAGAGAGGAGGAGATCTAATTGATATCGTACAAGAATGAAGGATCATTCGAAGGAGACATTCTTGTACAAGAGCAAAGGAAAACACAACGAAAGTGACGCAAGCTTACAAAGTGTCACGTCACTTATTTATCAAAATAACACAAGTTCATGAGGCAGAGTAGAATTAATAATATCATTTACTTATCAAAGTATCATAGACCACATGATAGAGTATGAATAAAATTAAAAAGTAAATATGGTAATGGTAAAGTGTGCATCGCGTGATACTGCAGATAAAATTATGCTGAAGAGATATTTTTTGCTTCGTTTAGAATAGATAGAAGATGGAAATTTAGATAAAAAGTAAATTCATAAATTAGATGGAATTTAGTGGGAGGTATAAATTGAAGAGATATCAAATTTGGAATATATATATTAAAAAAAAAAAAATCTAATTAAAGTAAAAAGAAATAAATCTGCTAATTGATTTAGATACCTGAAAATAATTTTTTAATTTTAAATAATTTTAAAATAGAAAATAAAAAGTCCTAAAATTTGCTTTTTTAACATTATCATCAAAATTATTTTCAAAAACTGAGTAATATTAAAGAATGTCCATACCTATCGATCTTTTATAGTTATGTAAGAAAGAAAAAAATCCATAAAATTAAGATTGTGTTCTTATAGGTTATAACTGAATAACAGACCCTATACTTCTTTATTCTTCTCTGCTCACCATTTGATATGAACGCAAAAAGTAATCTCATCTTTAATTGATTCGAGTGGTGGGGTGTCTATGATCACACTGAAGCCGTGAAATCTAAGCAAATATAATATATATGTTGTCGCCAAACACTTGAGACATCTGATCATAAATAATTAAGCATAATTGTTCTTTAATTAGTAGCTTCTTGTATGGTGAGGTATCAAAACGAAACTTCGAGGAAAGTTCATTATTTCGTTGTTTAATGGAGAATGAAACTTCAAGGAAAGGAGGATTGATATAACAGTTGTCAGTCTTTGTTATGATGGAGAGAGGATGCCTTACTGATACTAGAAAACGAATAGGGTGGGGGCCAAAGAAGCTCTTATAATTTGAAACTATATATTTACTAAATTGGTCACACACACACACACACAAATATAGGGTGTGGACTTGTTTATTTATTTAATTAAAGGACTAAAGTATAAATACAAAGAACAGTAAGAAAAACAAAAGATTTTAATCACAATAGTCATCATTCAATTATTTCATTTCTTGATATATATATATATATATATATATATATATATAGCTGTGTATTAGAGTTGCTTCCAAGCAATGTTGTTTCTAATGAGTTAAACTTTGGGATATTCAAACACTTTTGCCAAAATAATTTAATTAATTAGTGTTAGGACCAGTTTCAAGAGGTGTCTATACAATTAGAACTGATCTACGCAAATATAAGTTTCAATAATTTCTTAGTCTCAGCGTAACATGTGCTCAACTTTATGAGTTTAATTTCGGTTGAGGCGGTTTACTTGCCCAATTGATAGTTAGATCAGGGTGTTCAACGAGTTGGTCAAAGTTTATTCATTTGATTTGCACTATTAGTTACAGTAGTTTTTTTCTTCTTCTTCTTCACCAGCTCGGCCATAATTGATCACATGCACTCACATGGTTTGATCGTGAGAGGATAGCACTGCCAAACTCTTTCTTCACGTCACGACTTATGATGCCAACACCCACCTAACATGGACCACGCATTATAGCTTGGCTAGCTACCTTGATTGGTGGTTATCAGCAAGTACATAAGTGGTCATCTCCCTTTCAAATCCCACTTGGGCTAGGACCGGCTCAATATAATTAAAGGTCTTGGGCGAGAAATATAAAAGTGATATTTTAATATCTTTATATATATATATATATATATATATAATTTAATTAATTTTTCTTGTCACATAATTAATTTTAGAGTTATCCAACTTATACTTAATGAAAATGAGAAAAAATATGTCAAAAAAAAAAAAAAAATTATGAAAAGTTTTACAAATTACAGAGAAAAAAAAAAAAACATGAATGTGGAGCTGAGAGAGAGGTTTAAAAAAAAAAAAAAAAAAAAAGAAAGAAGTGTAAGATAAAGATAGAAATCTTTTGGCCCATATTAAATCTCTATTGGTTAGGGTTTATAATCAATACAAATAAAATTTTTAAGGAGGTTATAATATAAGGAAATTAAAAAAAAAAAATTTTTGAGGCCTTTCTATTGGACAGAGTTTAATAACAAGAAGGAAATAATATTTTTAGGAAGATTATAATATAAACAAATAAAAAATTTTGAAAGTTAAAATATAAAAAAATACAAATTTTGGGCTCTTTATATTGGCTGGAGTGGTAATAGTAAGGAAATAAAAATTTTAAGAATGATATAGATAAAAAAAATTAATAATAAAAAAAAAAAAAATTGAGGCCGACTTGGCCCTTAGACAAACGCCTAAGTAGCCTAAGGGTCCAGCCGCCCCTCCTTGGGCCACGTACATCTATATGTATATACATTATATATACACACACAAACACACATAGATATATAATTTACTTTACAGCCTGTTGATAATTCATTTGATCTATGGGTCATATAGTGTTCCAGTACTACGTACCAACAGGCAACAATAATATCCCTACCACGTTCAACAGCTAAAGAGAGGGAAAAAGAAGAAAAAAAAAAAAAGGCGCCATTCCGTAATTTATAGACATGGAATGGCAAACCTAATTATATATAGCTTATGATTTGTTGGTATAGAGATGGAAGAAGACCGCGACAAAATGACTGTAAATTTGGCATCATAACATTGATTTTGATCGATCTCCATCTGTCTCTTACTTGCAATTGCAAAAACACTTGTCATATAAGTAGAGTAATATGTAATAAAAGTGTAAAAGGTTGAAGGTTTGTTTTTTGATTTAAAAACTTAAGTTGTTGGGTAAAAGTGGACCATTCATTTTTCATCAGATTTATCTTGGATTGATATAAAAACCTAGCTCTAGTGTTGAATGTTGGTTTTTAAGCTCAAACTTGTTCCAAACCCTTGACGCACTTTCAGTACAAGAGTTTACTTACATGCAGTACATGCACGCACTTGCACTCTAGACTTTATGAATTTTCCAGGAAAATGGCAAAAAAGGACGAAAAAGATAAAGAAGAAAGAGCTGTTTTTGGTGAGCATTATCCACCACAAACTGAGTCCTCCCCGTCGGCCACGGCAGTGAGTGAGTTGGTTTGGGAAATTAACAGATAAATCAAATCAAATTTATCTCCCTGGAACCACGTTTTAGAATGAAACTGACTAATTTCGAAGAAATAAAATCATAAAAATATGAAAAATATAGTTATTGTACTGCTATTCTATATATATTGGAATTGTAGTACTAAAAAAAAAAAAAAAAAAAGATTTGAGAAGATTTTTCTTTTTCACCTAAAATATTTTCTTTATTTTTGCTGTTTGGATGTTTAACAAAGGTGTAGATCGAAATTGAGATCTAGTCCATAGACATGTAAAATAACTTACCAAAAATTTATGAATAAGTTATTTTTGTTAAGCTGTAATATATATTTTTTTTAATAAATATTTTATGATAATCAAATACTAAAAAAATAAATAAATATTTTTTAAAAAATATTTTACATCTAAAACCAACAAAAAATTCATAACTAAAATGTTATTGACATTATAATTAATTATAATATAAGCACGCTCAACCACCCTTATCATGTGGACTGGCGCAAGTACTTTCCTCTACATGGTGTGAGGAAATCTCATTGGAAGTTGCGTCTGTTGAAAGAAAATGTCTGTAGAAATAGTTAGCGATCGAGCAGATGGAGCCCACTGTCTGCTACAAATACGACAATGATTTTCTTTGCAATTTCTGGGTTGACCAATGTCGGAGTTGCAACGACTCCAGGAAAGGGTGATACGCAAATAAAAATAAATAAATATATTTTTTAGTTTTGGCGAACTTTTGTAACCTCAGTGGCCCATGGCCATGGGCTATTTTTGGCATTCCGTTTTGGGCTTGTACATTGTATTATTTTATGGCATGATTCGGCTTTTTCAATGTGTTCCAACTTCACTGATTGAATTATAGTTACTGAAAAGTGAAAGGACTATAGGATTTCTAAGCCCTATTGTTTTGGGCCTGAAGCTTCGCGTAGGCCCATGGCAACTAATTGGTTCATTAAGGGTTTGGATTTGGTAAGCTGGGATGCAGCCCGATCTGAATAAGCAATTATATAGCTTGCACTTTCCTTCCTCCTTTTTTGTTTTTTTTTAGGGTAAAGTGCATAAAACTCCCCTAATGAAGAGAGAAAAGATGGGTTGGGAATATTGGTTTTATATTAATAGTTTATAAGGGTAGGTTCATCATTTTAAAATTATAGCCGTGGCATGTGATCATCCTGCGCCTATTTAGCCGGAGAAATCAAAGAGAACCTCACCGGTGGATGCTTTTTGCAAAACTTTTAATAGGTCAAGGATTAACTAAAAAAATAGAAGTTCGCCTTTGGGGGGGGGGGGGGGGGGGGGGGTTTGGAGAATGAGAATATAGTTCCAAAGGGGTTTTATGCACTTTACCCTTTTTTATAATAATAAAAATAACAGCAATAAAATCTTTTGTTAAAAATTGTTAGGAGCTCATTTGTTGCAATAATAGACCTCTGTAATTACCAATTTACCACCATTCCAGATGCCCAGTGGCCGAATTATTTGGGAGATTAATCGACGTATATTCATTTTGTCAATAATTAGTTAGCTTCGTCTCTATATTCTCGATTGTTTGTGCTATGTTTATACTTGCCATCGACAAGAATGTATCACCATGGACGTGGTTGGAATCTTGTTGGGTAGTCGAACGAGTCCCGCATTAATTAGTGAAGAAGAAAATTTCAGACTTATATGAGGCAATGATCACTCCACCTAATAGGTTAACTTTTCGGGTTGGATGCCCTAACCCAACAACTGTTATAAGAGAGCTTCGTCGGGCAGTGGAACAAGTCCCACGTCAATTGATAAAGAAGAAAATCTAGGATTTATATGGGGTAAGGACCACTC